CAGGTCGGGAGGTCTTCAGGTCGGGAGGTCCTCATGACGGAAAGTCCGCAGGTCAGAAGGTCCTCAGGTCGGAAAGTTCTCAAGTCGGATGGTCTCTTAATCGGGACGTTTGCGGCTGGACCAATCAAGTCGGGTGGTAATTGATTGCCCACTTAAGTGAACAGTAATTTGGTCGCTTGGTGGGGGCGGTCAATGAGTCTTTTGGTCTGGCGATCATCAGTTAGTCTCTGGATTGGTCGGCTGGGTATGCGGTTGGCCAGACGGGTGAAGACACTTGTCAATAAAGGAGGTGGGTGGTTGCTGTAACTGACCAGGCGACGTTTCAAAACGTTTCGTCTTGGGCGGTTGATGGCGGTTGCTGGCGACGGTTCCAAACGTTTTCTTCAAGAAATATTTAAGGATTTTGATTTTATTTAAGAAGGCATCTTCAATCAACTTCAACAAAGTAAAGTCAGATTTGGGGATCACCACTTTAAATTTTCAGCATTTAATTTCCAGTTATTTCCTTGTATGTACCGTACATTGTTTAGAGATTTCTAATCTCAGACGCTAATTAATCAAATTTAAAGATATTTTCCATATCTTTGAATTTTACTTTTTATTTATTGAAAAAATACATCAACAACCCTAATATAATATAACTAGTGAGTAAGTATATGAGTAAGTATTGAATATGTATATATATATCAATGCGTATATATATGGATGCATGATGAATATATATATATATATGTTATATGTGAGCTTCTAATGTATATATAAATTCTCTAACATTTTTTCTTCTCTTTCCTTTGTCTTGATTGAATATTCTAATTTACTTAGAGCATGTGCAATGGTTTTAGTGGATATGATGTGTCACTTGGCACCTTTGATTCAAGTCATTAAAAAAATTTATTACACGATGGCTTTTTAGTTATGTTTTCCACTATATTGGAATGAGACAAAAATAATGAAAGAGAAAGTATATTTATTTATTTATTTAATTTTTTATAACGTGAGAATCCACATTCGTTACTCAAAAGTGCGCATTGGGTAAATTTTCGATCGAACCTAATACCCTGCAAACGAGGCTCGACGGAAAAGTCACACTAGGCGAACCACAAAGAAAGTATATTTATTATTTTTGTGAGAAATATAGAAAGAGAAAAAGTCTGGGCATGGCTTCTGCTTCACCAAGTCTTGGGGAAGGATTTTCATTGTTTTTTGGCCTCCAATAATGAGTCATCAAGGGTGTGTTTGTTCGGGGGATTGAATTTTAAATACATTATTCATCATATTTTTTTCCCTCAAAAATATCAAATCAAACACCTATTTTTCATTTTTATATTATACTAAAAAATCAATTTCACATTCAAAATATCACATCAACACCTATTTATATCACATCATACAACTAATCAAATTAAAAAACATCAAGTCACCGTCTTTGCTCTTACTCAGTATCTTTGTTCCCATTATTCACAAACTTATCGATGGAATATATTGGAATTGCCGATTAAGCTACTAATGTGCACTTTGGTTTTGCTCATTAGTGTTAAACTTATGAATGCAATCACTAAAAAACATAGTTGGTTTTTTTCTATATATAATTATAATAATGACATTCACATTAATAATAAACTAGTTACTTGTTGCAAATTCATGATATGATATGCATATACATAAATAAGTATAATTGGCTCCGCACATATACTATACTACCTAACAGTTTATAATAAACTAGTTACTTATTGCAAATTCATTGACATTTTAGCAGATAGATTTGTTTAATTTATTTTGTTATGCTCTTTTGGTAAGTTTTGATTTGGTTTCCTGATATAATTTAATTTTATTATTGTATTGTAGAGAATATAAATTATATCAATGGATAATCAACAATTTTTATTTTCGATATCAATAGTTGGATGTGAAATGACGAGTAATAACTGCGAAAAAATCAAAGTGGTGATAAGGAAATTATTGATGATCATATTTTTTACTTTTTCTTTACTCAAAAAAGTAAAAATTTCTATTTTTATTCATTTTTTTAAAACTCGTGTCAGGTCAAATGAGCACACAATTGAACGATGGAGGAAGTAATAGATTTAAGATTTTTTAATGGTGAGTTTTTAGGTCGAACTCCTATGATTTTAAGTTGAAAAATTATTCAAAGAATTAAAAGTTTGAGTCTACAAAAATCAAAAGCAAAAGTGATATTTAAATCTAATTTTGTAATTTAAAGTCTACTATTGTTGTCTAATAAAGTGAGATAAAAGCAAAATCTAATGAGGTGAGTGGTTCATGTAATTGTTTTATGAAGCAGTCAACCATGTTACGAATGTGATAGAAACTGTGTACAGTAATAAGTGCAGCAAAGACGATTGTGTTAACAAGATCTTATATTTATTTAGAGCGGGCAATGCGTCAATACGGGTCGGGTTGACTACTTTAAACGGGTTAAATTACTCAATCCTAACTCGACCCGTTTATTATCGTGTCGGGTTCGGGTTGACTCGCGTTGATCCGTATATATAATTAAGTCTAATTTTTTGATTCAAATTAAATAATTTTTTTATTTTGTTGTCGTATTATGTTAGTTTTTATTGGTTTGAGTGTAAATTAGGTTGTATTATTTAAAATTGAATTTAGTTTAAATTAATTTATGAAAAAATTATTAAATTATAATTATTTTATATATATAATAAATATATTAATCAATATTAATATATTATAATCGGGTTGTCGTGTCGAGTTCGAGTTGAGAGTCTCAACCCTAACCCGACCCGTTTATTATCGTGTCGGATTCGTATCAACCCGTATACATAATCGGGTTAAAATCTTTGATCCAAACCCAATTATTTCGTGTCGAATTGTCGTGTCGGGTCAGTTTTTGCCAACTCTATATTTATTACTTTGGTGTTTCACCCATTATCTACCATGCGTTAACACTATCATACCATTTTGCTTTTGCTAGGAATCACCTTGACAATACTTTTGGAGCGTGAAAATATATGGATACTCCATATATATTTGTTATTTACAATAGAGTGTGAACATGTTAGCACTCAAAGAATCAAACGCAACACTATTGCCAAATATCCAGAAGGCTCTTGTTTATATTCTCAATAATAAAAAAATATTTTCAATAATATCTTCACCACACATTTAAATAACGATTAATCCTAAATCTAACAATTAAGTCCGCAACTAATTAAATAGGACAATAACAAATAATACAATAATAAAGATCAATAACTAAATCACTGTCGGCTCGGTCCGCTTGCTGCGACGACGTCGGCTGTAAACCAACAACGGGTGGAGCCCTTGCTCCACATCAGAACATAGGTTTGGTGAACAAATCAAATAAACAAAGAAATTAATGATATGCGGAGATAAATTCGATATGAATTTCCCTGTCCACCACAATCAGTAATAGAAATACATGTCCTACCGAGACAGATGACTACAATGTTTGATTCACGGTTGGTTAATCCGATCAGTTCATTATTTGAATTTTATTTTGAGCACAGGTTTTTCTGAATTCAATATCCCTACGAAAAATTGATCACATCAGACCGTTTCCGAGAGATATGCTCCTAATTGGGTTTTTTCTAAACGGAGCCTGGATACTTCATTTTTTATTTCTATTATAAGCAATGAAGATTACTTTTCTGTCTAGTCTAACAGGAGAGCATTAAAACTTCACCAGAAAGAGGACAAAGATCCTCCATAATATCCATGACTCCATTCAAAATTACTGAAAAGAGCTTTTTACAGTTCGACTTCTGAATATAATTGTAGAAAAGAGAGTGAAAACCCGATGATAAAATAAGATAAATCATGTTGATATTTATAGGCACTTAAGACAATGACAGTTGCAACGGTTGCAATTATCACAACTTCCATTTACATTGTCGTCAATGTATTAATAGATGGATATGACGTTACATGTAATGTATATTTTTTTGAGGTTTTAGGTTCAAACTCATGTACCTTCTAAATTTAAAAATAGTATTATTTATATTTGCATATAAAAATGTTAGAAATTTTATTTTATTTAATTATTAAATTTTTATTATAAATAAAAAATAAATATATTATTTATACATATTTAGGGCACCTAACTTTTGTTTTAATATTGTTTAGGAAAAGTTAATATCAATACTATTATTAATATTTTATCTAAGAATGCTAGAAAGAGTTATTTTATTTAATTATTTATATTTTATTATAGGTAAAAAAATAAAATATGTCATTTATATATATGTAGGGGTCTTTCATTTTTATTTTAATATTTTTTGTATTAAAAAAAAATAAATATTAGACAAAATTATTATTATTATTATTAGGAAAAATTGTCAATAACTCCGTATGTAGTTTCGAAACTCAATGTAAATCCTCTATTTATTTTAAAAATTGTTTGATATCTCTTTATATATTAAAAAACGTTGTATGAAATCCCTTTTATAATTTTTTAGTGATGAGAAGATATTTTTCATATATATTTTTTGCATTGCGGGAGTTTCATATACCGTTTGTTATAGTATAAGGGTTATGAACAATTTTGAAACTAGGTGTGAGTTATGAACAATTTTGCTTTATTATTATTATTGATATTTTTTACATTAAATTTACTAGAAAAAAATATAATTTTATTATAAGTAGAAAAATATTATATATATATATATATTTATATTTAAGGCCTCGACTTTTATTTGGCCTTGCCCTTCAAATGTCCAGACCGACCCCGATAGTATCTCTCCAATCTAACCAGTCACTATCGGAGAGGGGCTTGTTGCATTATACATAGAAATGAATTTGAATTGATCAGTTCATGTTTATAAATAAATTACTTGTCAATTTTTTGTGGCTGAGCACTTATCTTATCCCCTCGATCCCAATTTCATTTTAATCCTAACTTCAATAGAATTTGTGCTTCAACTTTATTTTTCACCTATTCATTTCCTTGATAATAAATTTACAAATTATTCAGAAAGAAACGATTGTGTTATAAAAATCAGTTACCAGAAAGGGAAGTCAAACGAAGTCCCCATCACCAATGCCTTAGTACAAAAGCAAGCTCACAATCCCCATTTATTATATCATACAAACTCTGTCACTTAAAGTTATTTGGGTTTCCTTTCGAGATATAATTAATTCTTACTTATGGCCGATTCTTCAAACAAATCTTCCATAGTTGGTTAGCCACGACCTCCGTTTCTTCAACCTCTTCCATCCTCATCTTCTCACTCAATTCTTCAGCTCTACACCTCAGTCTCTCTCCACTTTCTCCAAAGATCACATCACTCATCGCCATTGCTATGTCCTCTCCCTTATACCCTTCATTGTCCTTTCTTGGAATCCTCAAGCAAACACCACACCCCACCAACATATTGGTGTCGACAACCATAATGACTTTCATCGGCATCCCTATAATGGGAACCCCAAAGTACATACTCTCCATTATCGAACTCCATCCACAGTGACTTAGAAATGCACCAATTCCAGGATGTTGTAGAATCTTTGCCTGTGGTGCCCATCCAGTCACTATACCTCTTTCCTTAACCCTCTCAAGAAACCCTAATGGAAGTGTCTCTTCTATGGTCTTTGTCTCCTCCCCAAGAGGAAATCTTAGAACCCATATGAAGTTCACCTCGCAAAGCTCTAACCCTTTTGCTATTGCCTCGACTTCTTCCCCCGACAAGAAGTATTCGCTCCCGAATGAAATGTAAACAGTCGAATGATGGTCTTTCTTGCTTAGCCACTGTAATATGTCTGAATTGTCGTCGCCAGAAGAAGAAAATGAATCTGTTACTACAAGAGGGCCTGTCGGTAATACTTTCTTGTTGCAAGCACTGGAAACATAGTTTATGTACTTCCCCTCGAAGCTCCAACTGGTCTTCAACAGGACAACTTCAGACGATAGGTCGTGACAAACATTGTAGATCACCTCGCCCTGTTTGCAAATATCGTTGTTGAGAAGCTTCGTCAGCTCATCGAAACTGTTCTTCTCATAACCATTCATAGATAGTTCTTGAAATTGAAAGCCACCATCACTAGGACAACAGTAGTGATGAAGATCGAACGACTGTGTAGCTGCTCCAGCAACAAAAAAATGAACTGCTGGAATACCTCGTGATGCTGCAAGTTTTGCCGCCCATGGCTGGAAAGAGTCGAATACGATCAAATCAGGGTTTACGGCAGTGATGATGTCCGAAAAGCTCGATTTGGCTGTCGGAAAGGCCTTTAAGAGTTCGCAAAAGAGATGTGAAGGGAGATTCTTTGTGGTATGGTAGTGTGGAGGAAGATGTACGGATGGCTCTAATTTGAGCTCCACAGCTTCCATGGAGTCCCCCAAATTGTTGCTTTGGATGAAGCTTTGGATCGAAGTTATATTGATGGCTGTCGAACAGACGTAGATATGGAAATTCTTTGTGGCTAATAATCTTTTGGAGAGCCCAAGATAAGGGCTGATATGGCCATGAGCCAGCCATGGGAACATTAGGATTTTGAAACGTGGAGCTTGTGGAGGATCCATGAATGAGAAAGATGAGTAGTGAAAGAGACGATATATATATATATATCTATACATATATTGTAATTAATTTGTAGGGATTATTATTGCAGTATTATTATGAGTCTACGGGTAATTAATAGAGTTGACTATGATCTTGTTATCACTAAAAATATCTGTAGCGTCGCGTGAAGTGGGATGTTATTTAATGTTACCTGCCGTGATCAAAAGTCTCATCTACTCCTGGGCATCCGATCCTCTTCCCCCTTCTACCCAACAGGAGGCCCCGCCTCCTAATTTTATTTTTAGACTAAATTATACAAATTTCATATATGATTTAACAAAATTGTACAAAATTTTCATATTTTTAAATTTCTAGTTTCATAAACTTAGCGTCTAACCTATTGACCCTCTTTATTATTTAACGTTGTTTAATCTGCACCCACCCAAAATACAAATAAATTTTAGAATCGAGTTGTTCCCTCTCTAATTAGGAACATGGTGATCTTTTTTTGTTTTAGTATTCCTTCAATCTCGCTACCAGATGATCAATTATTTTATCCACCAAAAAAAAAAAAAATAAAAAAATATGTCTTTTGTATTTTCATAAATTTATTTGTTTGAAAAAAACTTAGGGTGTATTTGTTTGGGGCATTTTCCCTAAATACACTGTTCATCCAATTTTTTTTTTCAAAGAAAATCAAATAAAACACTTATTTTTATTTTTTATATTATACAAAAAATTAATTAATTGTACATTTAAAACATAACGTTAACACCTATTTATGTCAAATCATACAACTATTCAAATTAAAAATTTTTACTATTCAAATCTAACTCAAAATCCAAACTTCCAAACAAACACATCCTTAATTAATATAAATCAATTTAATTATTTTTAACTTTTTACCACCAAGTAGAAAACTCTTTTATTTACATTTCTCTACAATAAACAAATATTTTTATCTATATTTAAAACTATTTTTTTAAAATTATTTTAAATTAATTATAAATAAATAAATAAATATTTTTATTTATTCATTGTATATATTTTATTAAAATAAAATATTAAAAATACCAACGACACTAGTCATATAAAAATAATAAAATAATATTAAAACTTATTATTAATAATTTATTTATTTACACGGCCTAAAATATGATATCTCTAATCAAATGGGTCATCTAACCCGAGACAACGGAGGGAGTGTTATTTTGTTGGTTTAGGATTTTTAAGTTTTGTTGTTTTTTGTGTTAATTTTAATGGATATTGTTACATTGTGGTTTTTTGTGGACAAAAAAACCGAACCGAATTGAACCGAACCCAATTTTTTGTTAACCAAGCAAATTCGATTCGAATACAAATACTGCATATTTGATATTTGTTCGGTTCAGTGCGATTTCGGTTTTTCATATATTTTTTCAGTTCGGTTAACCAAACCGAATATATTTATATTATTATATTTTAAAATTATATTAATAATTATATTCGGTTCTGTTTGAATTATTTGCAAATATTACAAATATTTTCGATTAACTGAAATTTTCGATTCAAATACGATTCGCAGCTTCATGTATTTGTTCAATTCGATTTTATTATTAAATACCTGCATATTTACAAATAAAATAACGGTGGCAAAACCGTAGATTTTTCTAATTTTGGTAGCTATTGTTGATTTTAATGTCAGATTTTGTTTGTTCTATTGATTATTACTTTCCGAAGTAACCAAACAATGAGAATGTTGAGAGCTTCGATTTTGAATCTGCCGAGTTCATCGGCTCATTGCTCTTTCGAAAAATGTACACGTGGCTGATTCTTTGGGGTTTTGTTTTAGTTAGCTTTCTTGGGTCATGTTAGTAATCCATCGTCTCAAATGGCGTGCAACATTTATTTTTTGTATGTCTCAAACATGTTGCAAATATTTTTAAATAAAAAAATAATTCATTATACTTAATCTATATCCCCACACTTTATCCCATCATATAAAAAAAAATAAAATATACACTTTTGTTTGTATCAGGTCACTTAATTACTAAATTATCTTAACGTAGCACCTTGGAAGGAGTATTATGTTTCAAACTTTTTTATTCTTTTGAAATATTAAATTATACTGGAACCACTCAAAATTCATTTAAATTTTTTTATTTTAACTATTAAAATAATTAAATTCATATTTTTAATTTTTACAATTTATATATATTACAACATAAATAAAAAATAATCCAAATAAACAATAAATTAACATGAGGTATGAAATACGCAGCAACATGCTGGATAATTTTAGTACAATTCGATTGGGATGAATTATGTCCATTCATGAGCAGGCATGAATTTTCTTCACAAATTAATTTATGCGGAATGAAATAAAAATTAATTATATTTAATAAATATAATTTCAAATTAAAATATAAAAAACTGTGTCAATTTTTGAAAAATCATATCTAATTGAAAATTTATACTAATTATATAAAAATTCACATTTCCTTCAAAAAATTGTAAAAAGTCACACATCAATCTTATATGGTATGAAATTTATAAAATATGGAGCATTAAAAGAAGATTAAATTGCAAAAACTGGAATTAGATCAAATTAAAAATCTAGAATTATTCCCTATACTCGGCCATAGGGTGGAAATAAAATTTTCAAAAAGCATGTATGAACATGATACGAATGTCCAAGCCATTACTCTTGTTATTCTACTAATTCAAATTTTCTCAACAATCAAAAGTTGTATTTTCGTAAGAGTCATGGCGTAATACGTATAAGACATGACAACCAAAATCAACAAAGCCGAGAGCCTTCTTCTCAACCTTTTGAAGATGTGCGCGAAAGAGGGTATGATCAATTCGAGCCAAATAACAATGGGGTTCGATTGGATTATTATTGATTATGTTGATGACTTTTTATTGGATATCTGAAATGCGAAGGTTTTGTTACAATCATTGTGTCGTGTCCTTTGACATTGCTCTGATGTCGTCAATCAAAAACCGATTGTTTAACATGTCCACAATGCGCTAGTCGAGTGCGATTGTGGCTCCGACAGTGGTAGTGAAAGTTAATGCCATCATGCTATGTGCAACGAAAGTTGGACGTCCAACTTAAGATCCATACCAGAGCCCGCAACTACGAGGGGATATTGTATGTCAGTGTTGTGCAATTATTCATTTGGAGCATTCCTACGGAGCTGTCAAGATGGAGGTTGTCTTTGAGTTTTACTCTTGATTTTTCTTTTAAAATCAAAGAGAGGGTACGGATTATCCCATAAAATTAATTTCGTGATACTCAACAGTAGAGTCGAAATACAACTACGAATATCTAAACTATTACTATTGTTACCCTACCGTATCAAATTTTCCTAACACAATATAGCACGCTACAGGCCATATTTGATTATTTCTTCTTGGCAATATATACTCAGTAAGTATCTTATGTATGTTTAAGTTCTTTAGACTGGTAAAACACTTCAACAATTCCAATGGCAGATGCAAGACTTCAATATTCACACATCATCTATCAATTTGTTGTATCTAATAACAAATTAATGACAATCATAAACATCTACCATCACGTTTTTGTGCAAACCAAAAATAAAAAAGGCCAATGAAAACAAAAGGCAAGCTGACAATTTCATATCATTAACACATATAACTGCAGCTTTGTCACTGAACCGGCCAAATCAAAATCGAAATCATCATGCACAAAAGAATTATGATCATACGATGATAATATACACACCAAAAAAACATAATGTATTATGAAAGAGGAGTTGAAAAGTATCATAAAGCCCTAATACACACAAGTGTTGAACGTTTCATCCGTTAAACTCACTAACAAATGTTACTCTAGCTAATGGTAATAAAGCATATCCTCAAGCTATTGGTAGGATATGTCCGTTACCTAATTTATGTATTGAGAATTTTATTTATATCTCATAAATTCTATTTAACCTTATATATGCTATTCGACTTGCTAAAAATTTAGATTATCACGGGAGATGATGCGTCTAGTATTTCTGATCTACATGCATATCTTAGCCAGCAACTTGAGATGAAGAGTTTGGGTCTCCTTCGTTACTTTTTGGAGTTCAAAGTCTCTGAATATCCCAATGGTTTTTTTCTCTCTCAGGCTAAGTATGCCTTCAATTTTCTGCACGAGTTGGTCTCACGGAGTGTCAAGTAGCCTCTACACCACTTGACTATGATATTCGACTTACTCCTCATGATGACTCTCTTCTTGATGACTCTACCCTTTATCGTCAACTTGTTGGGAGCTTGATTTACTCTACTATCACTCGACCATATATCGCTCATGCAGTCCATATTGTGAGTCAGTTTATAGCCGCTCCAAGGACCTCTCACCACTCTGCCGCCATACATATTCCTCGTTATGTGAAAGGTACTCTCCTGCATGGTCTACACTTTTACTCTCACTCGTCTTTGACTCTCAGCGGTTACTCTTATGGTGATTGGGCTAGTGATCCTACTGGTCGTCATTCGGCCACTAGTTTCTACTTCTTTTTGGGTGATTCTCTTATCTCTTGGCGCAGCAAGAAGCAGACTTTAGTTTCTCGATCGAGTGTCGAGTCCAAGTATCGTACCCTTACTGACTCTACAACAGAACTTATATGGCTTCGTCGATTACTCATTGATATTGGCGTTCCTCAGTCATCTTCTATGGATCTTCACTGCAACAGTAAGAGTGCTATGAAGATGACCCACAATGATACCTTTCACGAGCGTACCAAGCATATTGAGCTTGACTTTCACTTCATTCGACAACATGTCGTCGGTGGTGCTGTCAATCTCGTTTCGGTTCCTCCGTAAATCAGACAACAAATATGTTCACCAAGTCTCTTCTTCCCAGCCGCTTCCGATTGCTATTGGACAAATTCAAGTTGATTTCTACAACACCTACTTGAGTTTGAGGGGGTGTTAAATATAGGTATCTATTTTTGTATTTTTATTATATTTCGATTTGGTCTTATTCATAAATTAGATTATTTAGATTTGAGTATATCGAGTCTGTTTTGAATTGTCTATATATATACCCCTTATTTCAATGATCAATAAGACAATCTCATTATTTTTTCCCAAAATTTTTAACAGTATACATGTAGCCTTTAATAGTTTACCTAAAATAGAATAATTTATTCCACTAATTTAAACCACATCGATTCAATATAAAAAACACCCCAATTACAACTCAGTAAAATACAGAACATAAGTTGAGTCTCCAAGCTATTTGAGAATGTGTATCTGACATTGAATCAAGTGTTTCAATTTAAATATATAAAAAAAATTAGAATGACTATTAAAAACATAAAGTAAATAATAAAGTGAAAAAAAAGTAAACCTATTGCGAGGCTTTTTGGTCTTGGGATCGGATCCCATTATTTGGGTGTCGGGTCGGGTATTATGTCCCCTTATTTGGTTCGAGTCAGATCGAATGGTAGATCCTATTCAGACTCGGATTCGAGTCGGACCGATTAATAGTATATCAATGATATATATATGAAAAGAAAATTCTAACAATATAAGTTTTTATAATTTAATTTATTTATTAAAATATTTTATAATTTAATTTATTTATTTATTATTTTATTATAATTTTTTTTGGAATAAATTTATAAATTTTAATATCTATCGGGTCCAGATCTAAATTCAGGTTCAATTTTAAATTAAAATTTAAGAATTGTAAAAGTTTTTCGCGAGTCCATCGGGTCTTATCATATGTTGTTTGGGTTGGGTCAAGGTATAAAAAGGTCCAATTTAGGTCTCGAAGTCAGCAATATGTATTTGGATCGAGGTCGAACCCTACCAATACTCGGCCTATTGTCATCCCTAAATCTTGCTCTAATGCAATGTTGTCATGTCCTTTAGTATACGTTTCATTTATGAAAAACTTAACCTTGAAACAACAATAGCTATCAAAATTGAAAAAAATATCCAAAATGTAACAACACCCATTAAAATTAGCATAAAGAACAATATGATTTAAACCTTAAACCAACAGGGCGAAAGGGCAATGGCGGCGGCGGCGGCAGCGGACAGCATTGGACTGCTGGACAAAGAGAGAACAACTCACGACTTGAGTGAAGAGATTTGGAGGAAATTGAAATGGCGGCCTTGGGTCAATTGCAGTATTATAAAATTTTTCAAAATTTTATATAAAAAATACAGTTGGATAGAAGTTATCCGACAGAAGATCTAATGCCAATGTGCCTGCATTCCACGTCTAATTTTAATTTGTTTTAATAAAAAACAAAAGAGCCGATGTTGACATCGATTATTTTTATTAAAAAATATTGAATTATGGAATTCTGATCTATTATTTTTATTTAAAAAAATGAGATTAGATCATATGCTGAAGTGCATATTGATTCAGCATATGCTGGATTCAATCACAATCCTAAGTTATAAACTTAATTATTTTAATTAAATAAACAATTTTATAATTAAGAATTTAGATTAACTTCAGCTGCGCTGAATTAAAAAATTCAAAATAGCATCCACCCCGTAAAAAAATTGAGGCACCATACATTATCAAACTACTATAATTGACATTTTAGTTACTTATTTATAGGCAAAACATACGAACCCTACATGCCATATTTGATTGTTTATTCTTGGAAACATAATCTATTCGATTTTAGGTATGTCACGTATGCTTACGCTCTTTAGACTGTCTTCTAATGGAAGATCAAGACTTCAATATTCACAAATCACACATCACTATCAATTTGTTGTATCTAATAACAAATTAATGACAATCATAAACATGTTTTGACCCTGTTACGATTTATGGAATAAACTCTGTTTTCATTGAAAAACAATTAGGGTTCAATATTATATTTATACAAGAGATATATTAGGTAGAATATATATATCAATATATAAAATATATATATACTATATATATATATCAACATCCCCCCTCAAACTCAAAGTGGAACGGTGGAGCCCAACTTGAGTTTGCTCAAAAATAACTGAAAACGGCCGGGAAGGTGAGGTTTGGTGAATCCGTCGGCCGTCTGATCAGCAGAGGAAATAGGAGACAAGGAGATGCTTCCATGAGCAACGTGATGACGTACAAGGTGACAGTCGATCTCAATGTGCTTCGTACGCTCGTGGAAGACATCATTTGTTGAAATCTTCATGGCGCTCTGACTGTCGCAATGGATAATAGTGGCAGAGGGCTGAGGCACTCCAAGATCAGCCAAAAGCCAGCGAAGCCATAGAAGCTCGGCAGCGGTATCGGCAAGGGCTCTATATTCAGACTCTGCACTGGACCGGGAGACAACTGTCTGTTTCTTGCTGCGCCATGAAATAAGCGAGTCGCCAAGGAAGAAGCAAAACCCGGTGGTCGAGCGGCGATCAGAGGGATCTCCCGCCCAATCAGCGTCAGAATACCCGGTCAAAACTAAGGAGGAACGAGCGGAATAATGAAGTCCATGAAGAAGGGTACCTTTGACGTACCGGAGAATCCGTAGGACAGCAGAATGATGAGTCGTCCGAGGAGCAGACATAAACTGACTGACGATATGGACGGCATAAGCAATATCCGGTCGAGTGACAGTCAGGTAGATGAGACTTCCCACCAGCTGACGATACAAAGTCGGATCATCAAGGGGAACGCCGTCCATCGGAGTAAGACGACAGTCAGAATCAAGAGGTGTAGGAGCAGTCTTGGAGTCAGTGAGACCGGCACTAGATAGGAGGTCGGAGGCATACTTGGCTTGAGAGAGATAATATCCGTCGGAGGTGTCGGAGATCTCAAGTCCTAGGAAGTACCGAAGAGGCCCTAAACTCTTCATCTCGAAGTGGCGGTGTAGATGAGCCTGCAACTCGGAGATTCCTGATGCATCATCTCCCGTAATGATCATGTCATCCACATAAAGCAATAAAATAGTAATTCCAGCTGACCCACGTCGAAGGAAGAGAGCCGAATCATGATCACTAGAAGTAAAGCCAAGCTGGAGTAGAGCAGAGCTAAATTTCGAAAACCAAGCTCGAGGTGCCTGTTTCAAACCATATAGGGCACGGCGAAGTTTGCATACCTTAGAAGAGGTAGGAAAACCAGGAGGAGGAGACATGTAGATATCTTCGGATAAATCACCATGCAAGAACGCATTCTTGACATCAAGCTGATGCAGGGGCCACCGACGAGCGGCAGCGATGGCGATAAGACAGCGGACAGAGGTGAGACGAGCAACCGGGGCAAATGTCTCCTCATAGTCGATACCATACTGCTGGGTGTAGCCTTTGGCTACCAAACGCGCCTTGTAGCGCTCGATAGATCCATCAGAGTGAGTTTTGATTCTGAATACCCACTTGCATCCAATAGGTTTCTTGCCAGGGGGAAGATCAACCATATCCCACGTATGGGTTTTCTCCAAAGCCTGCAACTCCTCAGACATAGCCCGCCGCCACAGCGGATCCGCATACGCCTCACGAAAGGACCTGGGCTCATGATGGGACAAGGTGGCAGAGAAACAGTGATAATCAAGTAAGTGAGTAGGAAGGTGACTAACCCGAGTGGAACGACGAGGGCCAGGATCAGGGGCTGAGATCGGAGTCGTGTCAGGCTCTGGTGGTGGTGATGTATCGGAGTCGAGAGTAGGAGTAGACTCGGGGATCAGCTGCGGTGCAGGAGGCGCAACCGGGACAGCGTCAGGAGCGGGAGACGGAGACGAAGCCGTGTCACTGGAAGGGAATAGAGGTGGAGAGGACAAGGTAAAGAACGGAGACGAACGATCAAAGGGGACTCGGAAGTGAGACAAGGAAGAGAATTTGGTATCCTCCCAAAATGTGACATGACGAGAAATACGTAGCCTATTGGAAATGGGATCCCAACAACGATAACCCTTATGTTCTAACCCGTAGCCCAGGAAGCAACACAGACGCGCGCGAGGTTCTAACTTAGTGCGCTCATGAGGAGGGAGGAGGACAAAACTGACACAACCGAAAGGGCGGAGAAGACTATAATCAGGGGTACGATTAAATAGTCTTTCAAAAGGACTGACATTACCTAGGATAGAGGAAGGGACACGATTTATAGTGTGGACAGCGGTGAGTGCGGCTTCCCCCAAAAAGCGATCTGGACAAGAGGCTGATAAGAGAAGGGTGCGGACTGTATCGAGGATATGTCGGTGTTTACGTTCGGCGCGACCATTTTGTGGAGAGGTGTATGGGCAAGAGCGTTGGACAGCAGTACCTTGATCAGATAAGAAACTAAGAAATGATGAATCAGTATACTCAAGAGCATTATCTGTGCGGAGAGTTTTTATGGTAGAGGAAAATTGGGTATGTATCATTTTAGCAAAGGTCATATAAATGGATGGAAGTTCAGAACGATGCCGCAGAAAGTAAATCCATGTAAAACGAGAATAGTCATCAATAAAAATCACAAAATAACGAGAACCATTCATAGACACAGTGGGCGAAGGTCCCCAAATATCCGAGTGAACTAAGGAAAACGGAGTATCCGCAATGGAAGTACTATGAGGAAACGACACAGCAGGTTGTTTTCCCAACGAACAATCCACACAATTAAAAGACTCAAACTTAACAGAACCCAAACTACCCTGACTAATCAAAGACCTGACTTTATTGGAAGACGCATGACTGAGACGACGATGCCACTGAAGGCAGGATGGTGTAGAGGTGGTGGCAGCTGAGATAGAGGGACGAGGGACCTGGAGTGACGTAAGTTCAAATAAGCGGCCCGTCTTCCGGCCCTTCCCAAGAGTCCGCCCGGTTTGCGCGTCCTGAACCTGCACACCAGTAGAAGAAAATATCACGGTGAGACCTTGATCAACTAATTGACCAACGGAAATCAGATTTAAGGTTAATTGAGGGATACAGTATGTGTCGGGGAGGGATAAGGATGAGGTGGATGTATGTCCGGTATGGGTGATGCGCATATGGGTACCATTGGCAGTAAGGATAGGAGGTAAGGATGGTGCGGTGGATGTGGAGGTCATAAGGCGTATATCAGAGGTCATATGATTACTGCAAGCAGAATCAAAGTACCAAGGAGAGTTACCTGATGTGGTAGACATGGCGGTATTGGAAGATAGAACCTGTTTAAGAAGAGCTTCCAGGTCCTGAATCGTAGGAGGCGCAGGCGCAGGCGCAGCAGAGGCTGTGACAGAGGAGGTACCAGACTGAGGTCCACGAGAATTCCGAGGCTTGTAGTTACTACTTCCAGAGCGAGACGGCCTAGTGGGGCAATACTGTATAGTATGGCCTAAAACATGACAGTAGTGACACTCCACCTTTGGGCAATGACCGAAGTCATGATCAGAGGACTGACATCTTTTGCAACGATGAGAACGACTCTGAGTAGGAGTTCGGGCAGTGACCGCAAGAGCAGAATCAAGCTGAGGAGCCTTAGCTAGGTGGAGACGAGTTTCCTCAAACAGAATCTCCTGAATAGCTGCATCCAAGGTAGGAAGTGGATGCCGATGTAACAAAGAGGCACGAACTGCCTCATACTCTGGACGCAAAGCCATCAAGACCTGAATGAGGCGAAGATGATCAGGACTGATCTCTGCTTGATCTAACCGATGCCAAAGGGGTTGCACTTGGGCAAGGAAGTCGTTGATAGATTGTCCTGGTTCCTGTTTTAGATCGTGGAGAGTGCTCCATAACTGATAATAATGTGCCAAACCAGTAGCACGGAAGCGGACTGCCAAGAAATCCCACGCTGCCTTGGCAGTGTCAAATTGGGCAAGCTGAACATAGATCGCCGGAGTGGAAGTATTGCGTAACCAAGTGAGAATTTGATGGTTTTTACTATCCCAATCTTCCAATTTTTCAATATAAGATTCAACAACTGTGGTGGTAGGCGTAACTTCTCCTATAGAAACCGGAGCAATGGGGGCAACTATATCTCCCGTAACAATTCGCCACAATTTCCGACCTATCAAAAAACTTTTCATCGATTGTGCCCACAAACTGTAATTATCTCCGGACAGAACAATATTGATCGGAATATGTACATCCATCTTTTCCATAGAAACTCAAGAGAAAACAATATCTCAAACCTCAAACCGAAAGCCGAAACGACAGAAATCGAATCAAACCCGAAACACAAAAAGTCAACCGGATACAAAAAACTGCTCAAACGGAAGAAGTGAAGATACCATCGCGGAGGAAATCAAATTCCGAACACGACGGTGCAAAGATCGCCGCCAACGGCCGCCGCACGCGCCTCCACGCGCCGGCGAGGCGTCCGGCCGGAAAACACGTCGGGCGCGTGTGAGGCTCACGCGCCGCCGTTCGCCGAACTGTTCCGGTGTCCGGCCGGTCTCGTGACGGCGAAGACGATGGTGGTGGCGGTGACGGTCGGAAGTGGTCGGAAATATGCTATCTGGAATTCGTGGGTTGTTTCGATTTGGTCGGGAAAAAGCATGGCTCTGATACCATGTTACGATTTATGGAATAAACTCTGTTTTCATTGAAAAACAATTAGGGTTCAATATTATATTTATACAAGAGATATATTAGGCAGAATATATATATCAATATATAAAATATATATATACTATATATATATATCAACACACCCTAAAACATAAAACATAAAAGGCCAATGAAAACAAAAGGCAAGCTGGCAATTTCATATCATAACCAAAACTGCAGTTTTGACCCTAAACCGGCCAAATCGAAATCGAAATCATCATGGACAAAAGAATTATGATGACAGGATGATAATATGAACACACAAAAATATATTATAAAAGAAGAGTTGAAAAGTATCATAAAACCCTAATACACCCAAGTGTTCAATGTTCCATCAAACTCCCAAAATTATGAGTCAAGAAAACTTATTTAATGGAAAAAATGTTCCAAAGCAAAATGGGAAAGAGATCGATTTTAAGTGAGAATGTTCATCAAATACAAGTAGGATTGCTAGCTGGAGTGAGTGTTTTCATCACATTCTGCTCCTTCTCAGCTGCCCTCCCTCCATTGCCTCCTCTAATCGCCAGTGAACTAATTTAACAAAATATAACATTTGGTCAACAATACCACAAACACAAATACAAACTCTATAATATATCTTGCTAGGAAGCATTTTCGTATTTTCAATATAGTAAAAATTTGTCTGAAAATATGTATTAAAACATGGCGGTTTTAAATGGTAAATAAGTATTGAACCTAATGTTTTAATACACAATAGGATACTATTTAGTTGTATTAGGTGTTTTAAATTGTTTTAAAATTGTAAAGAAACCTAATTAAAATAATTGCTTCTTGTGTTATTTTAAATATAAAATTTAATACAAAAGTAATTAAGTTTTTATGTGATTTTCTTTGTATAGTATATATATATTGCTTGAATGAATAGTAAATATATTTTGGAAAAATATATATATATATATATAAACAAACAAAAATAGAAATTTAGAATATGCTATTTCAAATGAAAAATAAGTTATATATAATGTTTGTCAGAGAAGGTAGAATCTCCCTTCTTCTTTCTTCATTTTTTTTTTAATAGATAATGCAGAAATATTGGTGAAAACTTACACAAATAAACCTATAAACTTATCAACAAAGCTATAATTACTTACACTAAAATATGGCCATTTAACGGTACCTTTTCGTTATTCAAACTTCTTCAATCTCTACGACCTCCAGTCCATGTAATAAATTTGATTCCTAGAGGAATTAATATATACATATATATACATATATATATATAGAACATAGGTAAGATGATCATATACTGACCTCTCAATGAAATCTTTATTTTAGGAGAAAAATGAAATATGATTTTTGACCATATTTACTCATTTGACGAAAAATTTATATGTATATATATTTCTCAATATAAATATGCAAAAATATAGCTGATTATAAAACAAGACAAATACCTAAAAAATTACTCTCCCTCGTGCAAATATGTGCTCATTTGACCGGCACGAGTTTTAATAAAAGTGAGTAATAATTGTTACTTTTTCTTTTTTATAGTAAAAAAAGTACAAAAATGTAATAGTTTTTTTTACTTAAAAATGAAACGAGAATATTTTTCATTGACAACCCAAAAAGGAAAGTGAGCATAGATTTGAATGACGAAGGAAGTATAAAAGTTCTCTAATTTTGAGAGAAAGGTAAAAATATTACCTCTACGCTTGCGGACATAGTATGTGGGCATAGAAAAATATTTTAATCTTTCACTCCTTTCAAGTTTTCAAACTCCCTGTAGTCTACTACCGCAGTCATCAACTTTGGTGCGGTCCAAGATTCAAGCGACAAAGACTCCATTTGTGAGCAGTTACTTATCCATAATCTTTCCAACAATGGCAACTCAATATCTAATCTCCATTCACAAATCATCCCCAGAATTGGCAGGCCTGTAAGTCTTAATTCAGCCAACCTTGGAAGTGGCGTTGAACTATCATTCATCTTTTTGTCGCCAGAAATGACTACTTCCATTTTCTTGCAATCTTCAATGTATAATTCTTCAATGTTGACAAGGTGCCCAACAATTGCAGAAGAAAATAAACTCTTGATGTTGTGACATCTACTTATCCCCAATTTCTCTAATGATATAAAGAAAGACTGAGGAATATGCCGGCACCAAATATTGCTCATGTCTCCATATCCCGAAATTCGCAACTCCTTCAATCTGTCAATTTTAACCTATAAAACAAACAGCATTTTCTATTCCGATTAAAAGATAAATTGAATTAAAGATGACTTAATTGAATGTGACATCCGGTATTGCATCAAATTTAATTACTTATAAATTAAAATTACTGAGATATATAATTAAATGAAGTCTTTCACCTTTAATTCTTGCATATATAATGCAGTTAAAATTTCAAATACAAAGTCCAAATATTTTCTAATAGAATTATTAATTAAAATTCAAAAGAGCAAAATAAGGGGTACATGCATGATAAATATACTATGATTGTCAAACATGTGCAAATGTGTACTTATAGACAGATCTCAATGGTTGATACGACCAGGCAAACCATGTGTGGCACCACCAAGTCATCCCTTACAGGACTATGTTTCCCTTATGTTTTAATTGTATGTAATATTGATGCAAATAAATAAGATCGAAAGTATTTACAATGTATAATAAGATCTACACATATTGTTACTCCGTGTTTGAACAACTAAAATAACAAAATTGTTATTTATTCGAATAAATAGTGAGTATTATATATACTGAGCATATTAAAATGCTAAGTATATCTACTGTAGCTTTCAATTTATTTGAAAATTTTATATAATAGTAATAAAAATAACTCATAGAATTCAGATTTATCTTTGTTCTTTGGTTGTATTGCAAACTAAAACTCAATACAAGTAGTTACTTCAATAGGCTCGTTGCCGTGCTGATTGGGTCAAATCATTATAGTGCTTATTTGACCTAATTAGCAAATGTATAATATATATATATATGTATATAGAATATGACATATTTGAATAACATATTATATAATTATATATAGAAAAATATAGTATTTTTTGATTTTAGCAAAAAATATATTTTGATTTTATCACAATAGTAATTTGATCTAATTAGCAAATGTCAGATAAAGAAAATAACAAATCATCACATAATGTAATAGCATATTATATGACACAATATATATTATATGTCTTATGACAATTTGTTAATTAATTTCAAATTAATGTGTTATATATTATGTAATAATTTGCTAATTTCTTCATATTATACTTTTATAAATTCTTAGTTTTAATGATTAATAATCATTAATAATTAAAAAATCATTTTACTTGGATATGGTGATTGAATAAAAATAAATATTGAATATTAAATTTGAAGAAATATATTTTACTATAAATTATGCAAAAGAAAAACAAAATTACAACAAACAAGCTTTTTTTTAGTTAAATATTTTTAAACACAGAGATAGATAATTGATCAATTCAAATAACTTTATCATTAAGCCTACCACAATAATCCAACAAATAGAAACAGTATCTAAAGAATAATCTGAGGTAAACCATACGTACCTTTTGGTTGCAGAATAAGTGAAGGGATTCATCTTCATCTTCATCATCCTCATGGTGACATTTTTTATCGGATTCCATGGAACAAATAATGCTCATGAGATTCGAACAATCTACAATTTCCAATTCGGCTAGCATAGGGAATTCAATGCTTTCAATCCCTTTCCCAAAGCTAGTTAGACTTGATAGTTCTTGAAGCCATAGATGCTCCAATTTCGGAAAAACAATGTAGTTTGTTATCTCATCATCTTCATTCTCATTCTTTTTTAGAAGTCCTTCCATCACCTCATCTTTTACAATCAAACTTTCACATCTCATTTTCTTAATTGCTATCACTTGTTCCATGAATTTGCAATCTTTAATCCACAATTCTTTGAGATTGACAAAATGATCAATTCCTGAAATTGTACACAAGGTTTTGATATTGTTGCAATTAAATATGGTTAACTTTTCCAATCTACCGAGTTTAACCTGCAAAAATATACCCCGTATTTAGTTAGTTAATATTAGTGATATTTCAATGAATAAAACAACAATGAGATTGATGAATAACTTCATTCACTTTTTTACGTAGCAATGTAGCATTGATATTGTGTATAAATGAAGTTCAAAGACATTCATCAACAGACATATGTACCTAGCAAGTACGAAAATTAAAAAAAAAATAATAAAACTTGGAATTTAAGAATTTAATATTATTATATTTAAACAAATGTATTTTAAATTCTTTAACCTCAATAAAAAGAATAAAAAATTCATTTTACTTTATGAATGACTTTTTATTATTATTATTTTTTTTATGTACAAAAAAAAATTAAATGTGATGTTCTAAATAAGAATAATGGTTGCAACAATATTTTCAGTGAAAATAATTAATATAATTTTCAAAATGAAAGGTAGATATCTAATATTAAATTTCAAGAAAAATACTTGCTTAGAAAAAAGATAATTTTTGAGTGGGAATACTAAAATGATAAAAAGAACTATTTTACTTGGAACAGAGTGATTAAATTTAAATACAAAATTACTGGATAATTATTTTTACTTTTATTTTTTTATTTTTTACTATTTAGATCCACACACTTTCTTAAAAAATAATAATTTCAGCAAAAAATGAGAGTGAGATGTTTAATAATAATAATAATAATAATAATAATAATAATAATAATAATAATAATAATAATGTGGATATGCATACCTTCTCGAGATCAAATAGGTAAAGAGTAATTGGGCTATTCTCGTCGGTGTTTCCTTCCTCTTTCTTCTCACTGCTTTCCACAAAATTTACAAATTTTGGACATTTCTCTATAATCAACACCTCCAACACTGGAAACTCAATGCTAGCCGCTGCTTTGCTAAAACTAGTAAGATTTGGTAAGTTGGATAGTTCTAGCATCTTCAATTTTGGGATAAGAACATGACTTGTGTGTCCATTAACAAACACTTGTTTCATCTTCTTGCAATTCCAGATTTGGATCTTTTCAAGATTTGAGGGGAAGTCTTTGGTACTTTCAAAAGAGAAGAGATTTTGTAGCTCATTGCATCCTTCCAAATATACCCGTAACAAGTTGTTGAGCATAACATGTTGATTTGGACTCCACAATTTTTCAAGTGATGGCAATCTTACAAGATACATTTCTCTCAAATTATTAAAAGAAATTGATCCCTCTAATATTGGTCCATCACATAACTCTTTCATGCTCTGAAGATTATAAAGTTCCATCGACTTTAATTCTCTGAAAAATCCAAAGCTCCTACAATCAGTTGATGTCGCTGCCGCCGTGGTTGCATTTACCAATGACTTGAGCATTCCACATTCCCGAACTTCCAAAGACTTAATAGTGTTATGGACTTGTGAAAGATGAAAGTTTATCGAACCATCTCCTTCTAAACATAGCACATCACTATTCCTTGCAAGTCCAATGATCCAATTTGGAATATGAATGTTCTCTTTTGATAATCCCTGCAAAATCAAAGCTTTCTCTGCAATATGAATCCTACGAACCTCTTCTCCAAATAAAACTTTAAACCTCTTTACACATGGAAGCTGAATCTCCTCCTCGAGCGCACTAACATCCTCAATTTGAATCTCGAGGCATGTTAGCTTGCGTAATGACTCAAGCTCTTTGAGAGTGGCATTTTTTCTCTTCGTTTCATCGAGCTTTGTTGATTCCCATCCCTTGAAACTATGTGACATCTTCAATTCCTCTAATGCAGTTAAGTTTGATATGATTCCAGGAGATACTCTTTTGAGACCTGAGGAGTAGGAAAATTCTAACAACCTCAGCTTCTTCAACTCCCTTATAACAAGAGGTATCTCATGAATATTTGGACAGCAAACACAACTCAATATTTCAAGACTTAACAACGTGCCAACAACATCAATGTTTTCCAATGGGCAATTGTTTAGCCGCAATGTCCGAAGATTTTTCAGCAACAAAATTGCTTGTGGCAGTGATTTGCACGATATTTCTTTGAAAGACAACACGCGAAGCTCTTTCATTGTCTCCATAAAGGAAAAGTCGCTTATCTCTAAAGCCTCTGACTGACCACGTAACATAAAGTAACTCACATCTGGGAAGTCAACCAATTGCTCATTGAAAATTGAGTCCCACCATCCTCCTTTTTGTAGGAGCAAAAGCTGAAGACTTGGAAAATTAGGCCCCAAAAGGTATTTAAGAAAATCACTATCCTTTTCTGGAAATTCCAATATCCATTTGCAACTGGTAGAATAATATCCCCTCGACTCATGCTGCAAATCGACCAAGCCATCTTCAGATGCGATGAATCTAACCACATCACGAACCACATCATGCATTTTGACAGTGTTATTCCTGTCTCCATCCATCAGCAAGAAATTACTTTTAAGCTTATCAATTGAATCATAAACTCTACTTCTTGCTTTTATCAAATTACAACCTTCTTCCCACATCCATAACCCAAAGCTGCATAAGATTAGGTCCTCGAGGCTAATATTAAAATCCTCAGGAAATTGACTGCTGAGCTGCAACAAGGATTTGCTATCGTCATCTTCCAAGTAATCATAACTTAGCCTCAATGGGTTATAAATTTTTCTTAAAGTTTTATCAATTTTGGGTGACGTGGGACATTTTAGTCGATCCAATGCTCTCTCCCATTTGTCACAGTTATTTTCGTCTTTCATCGCCATGCCGACATTTATAATTGCAAGCGGCAAACCTTCGCACTCTTTCACTACTTCTTTGGCTATAGGCTGTGTATCTGAGTTATTCACGCAATCTCCAGCTTTCGCTTGAAAGAGGGACCACGCTTCCTCTTCAGACAAGGTTTCCATTGCAACAATCTGAACATCCATTTCTTTCAACAGATCTCTGTTCCGAGTAGTTATTAAAACAGAGCAGCCTTCGGACTCGCTTTTACAAGGAATTCCTAATTCCTCCAAGTTGATACTTTCCCAAATATCATCCAGAATTAGGAGGGTCCGTCTTGTGCCTCTTAGTCTCTCACGTAGTTTATGTGCTCTAGCTTGGTATGATTCGACATCCTTAATCTCATTCAAACCCAAGCATTCAGCAATCTCGAGTTGAATTTTCTTCAGATCAACATTTTGACCGAGAACAACCATCACAGCTTCTTCCAATAAACCCAATTCCTCCTTTGCTATATATTGAACTTTTTTGGCCAAAGTAGTCTTCCCCACACCACCCATACCGCATATCCCAATCAAATGAACATTCTCATCCTTAAAAGCTCTTATGACACCTTTTTCTATATCTTTCCTAGATGAAAATTCAAGGGCTTCTCCAGGTGGAACAGAAGCCTGTGCTGCCGGAAGTCCAGGCACCGATATATGATCTCCCAAATCTCTACACCGTTGTAGAAGCTTTTCTATTTTTTCAGTAGCCTTTACAGCTCTCCGACTCATTTCATAATGTGATCGAATCGTGCAGCATCCATCATTCAAGTGGGAACTTCCTTCTTGAATTTCACCAGGGTCATTCTCAATCTTGCTAGCCTCTCCAATCCAGTCAGAGACCTTTTGAAGAATCTGATGCGTATTATTTCTCTCTTGGTCGACTCTTTTTTGCAAATCATCTTTTTCATTTTTCAACTCTTTGGATTTTTCCCTGAATTTCTCAACATTCTGTTTGAAGCAGCATAAATAGTTGAACTGCTTTTTAACGAAGGAAACGAACTTGTTGCCAATTTCCTCTGCAGCTGGAGTAATCAAAGCTCCCACAGCAGCATCCATATATTTAAGCCTAATATGATTCTTCGATCTATCGCCTGAAAATTCAAAATCCAACATTAGAATTAGAAATTGAGGACTATTGGTGATGTTGCAGTTTAGGATTTTGGTGTGATAATAAATTAATGTCCAAAAGTGAAAACAGAACACAAGCTCAAACCATGATTAAATAGCGTTAGTTTTGAAGTTTTATATGGATATATTGTGTGTTCTTTAATATTTTTATTTTATATCTTTAGCTTTGATATTTTTGAAGTAAAAGTAGTTATGGTATATACCATTTTGTATAAAAAAAAGTAAGTATTGAGCTGAACAAATATTTAAAAATAGTTCAAAATAGTCAATTAATATTTACTCAACTATTTGAGTTTTTATTATTAATCATTCAAAATTATAAAAGTATTATTAAAACAGTTAATTATTCTAAAATTCCTAAATCTCAAGTTACTTTTCATATCAGTCTCTATTCATAATTTTTTTCCTTCCAAATCTCTTTTTAGTCCTTGTAATTCCCTACTTATAAATTTATCCATAAATATCCTATTTTGCCCTCGTAATAGTATTTTAATTACCTTTTTGTCAACCCCCACATAATCTAATATTTTTCATTCATAAATCTTTACGTACGGATAATATTAGATGCAACAATACAAATAATTATTTTTTATATATCGTTTAAAGTAAAAAGTTTGACAATCTAAATCGTTCATTCTTTGTTATATATATATTTTTTTAATTTTTTATGACAACTAATAATGAACCTCCCTCCAACCACCAATGGCGATACGAATACCAACTTAAACTACCCTAGTCAAACACCAACTTTATGCATCAAAGTCGAACCTACGGCTAGGTGGTTTCTATTATTGATTTGGATTCAACATTTAAACAAATATGATATATTTTAATTTGACTTATAATTTAGTTATATTTGATTTTTTTTTTCATCAAATCGACATAAATTTAATTGTTGTTTATATTTTAAAAAATATTTTCTCAAATACATTTTGAATTCATTTAAAATACTTTTTTATGGTATATCTAATATTTGCAAAATATTTTAAAAATTATTTATTAGTTTACATATATTTTATTAGACTAATACCATTGTTTTTTTATAAATATATATTGTATTACAGTTTAAGAGTTGTACGAAATTTTTTATTTACTTATTATAGTGTGAATTTTCATTATTAAATCAATCGAGTATTATATATGTCTACAATTGTTATTCAAATGTATTATTATTCATAAGATTTATTTTTTCTATTATAACATCTTAAATCATAAGCAATAATACCATTTGCGTAGGTATACATTAACAATTTTTATTGATATATTTATAAGGATTGCATTACAATATAGATTATTGCAACAAAATATTACATCGACTTGACAAATATTTAGTAGTCGTTTGTACTTTTTATATTTGAATTATATTTTGCTAAATGAAGGTTTGTATTTTCCATGTTTATTTTGAATACTTTTTTATGCAATAATGCATATTTTTATAAAATATTTTAAATACTTATCCGCTATTTTATTCAAACCTTCGAATAAGACAGGTATTTCTTTTTATATATATATATATACATATATTTTACAATTCAACTATTACTTTTTGTATACAAAATCAATTTACATTTTTATTTGTACTTTGTACATTATGAAAAAAAATAAAATATTAACAAATGATATTGACATCTTTATATTTATTTGAAATTATTTTTTTTGTATAATAATCAATATTCTTATAAGACATTTTTAAAGTCCTATCTATATTTTATTTGATTAAAATGAATAATTTTTATACAAATATTATGTAGTATATATCAGTGTGTATTTTTATTTTATTTTGTATTATTATAATTTTTATTTTCGAAATTGTTGTAAGTTTATGTTAAATGAGAAGAAAATATTATTGTTTTTTTTATGCAAATATTATTGTTTTTTTTTTTTCCATTTAGGTGCAAATGAGAAGAAAATAAGTGAAAATATATTAAATAAGGGTATTATAGTATTTTAAGTGTAGTGAGTAAATAAGAAAAAATTACCAAAATAAAGAGTAAGAGAGAAGAATTTTTTGTATAGGAAGTAGATGAAAATTTGCTTTTAGAATTAGGAAGTTAAGTAGAAGTAATAAATATGTAATATTTTGTTAAAGTAAATAAACTCATATTTTGATGCAGAATTGTCTACTTTTTCGTCTTTTCGTGTTCTATCTCAATATTAAATGAAATTTGCACGACCCAAGAAGCCATTCAACGACGTTTAGAGCCTTAAAATGATTTTTAAACCTATAAATATTTAGGGGAGTGTATTCAATTGGGATTTTAATAGATTTTTTTGGATTAAAGGTCTATAAATTTTTGTGAATTTAGAAAATTCACATAGTCTACGTTGAATTCGATGGATTTTAGTAATCGATTTAGATAAATTTCTACTGATTTGATTGAATTTTTTTATGGATTTATATAGATTTTATAGGATTGTAAAATAATTCTTTTATGGATATATATTAGTTATATAAATTTATATCAAACACATAATTTATAAATGTAATATATTTATAATTAAATTATTATATATTATTATATTTTTATAAAAAAAATTAATATTAATAAATAATATATAATTATTAATAATGTAGAAGTATCATAAAATTTGTAACATTAATATATTGTAAATTATTATTCTTAATTTTATAATTTTAGTATTATATTATCATTCAACATATCAAATTAGTTTTATATTTCTTTATTAGTTATTATTATTATTATTATTTATATAACTTTTTTACATAAAAAATAAATACGTATATAAATAAAATAAAAATATAATTTACGAATTTTGAAAAAAATATTAAAATAAATAAATAAATATAAATTATTGGTTCAACAAAATATATATATATTTTTTAAATATATATTTCACCGTTATCGGAATGAGAATATAGTGTATTCAATAATTGAAAAATGAGAATTAAACTGAAATGACAATATATTATGTTCAATAATTGAAAAGAAAAGAAAACAGTAAGTACATATTTATTATGAAAATTATATTTTTTAAAATTATATTTATAATATAAAAATATATATTTAAAAAAATCATAATAATTTGCTAATATATTTTAGTTTTAAATTATTATTTTTATTAAAAATTATAATAATATTAATAAATATTATCATATTATTTATTACATATACAACAATAATAACAACCACCACAACAACAACAACAACAACAACAACAACAACAACAATAATAATAAGAATAAGAATAAGAATAAGAATAATAATAATAATTGTTATTTTAAGAATCCATCAAAATCCTATACAAAATTTTTACAATTTTTCATTAAAATTCATAGACTTTAAAAGTATATAAATTGTTGAATACCTCGAGATTTTAAAAGATTTTAAAATTCTGTATTAAATACTTTCATATTTTAAAATTTAGATTGAATAACTCCATTTTTTTAAAGTCTTAATTGAATACACCCAATTTTTGAAAGTCCAACAAAATCCTATGGAGTCTAGATTGAATACACTCCCCTTAGTTACTTTTCTGCAAAATCATTTTTCATTTTATTAAAATATATACGTTGGATGTTTGATTTGCAAATTCTCTTAGTTTGACTATTTCAATCCATGTAATTGGCAATAATTTTTTTCACAGCAACTGGTTGCCGCTCGCCAATGACCGAAAATAATCATGGTCTTGGACAGGGCTGTCTCGGAATTTTTTGGGACCCTGAGTAAAAATAAATTATAGGACCATTGTAGTTAAGACACATTTGGTCTAATCATTCGTATTAGGTATTATTCCACTCATTAGACTGATCACTTGTGAGGTCTACCAGTAGTTTAGGATCATATGTCAAACTTCAAACGTGATTCCGTTAGGGCGCGAGAAGGAGTAGAGTTTCCGGGTTTCCTTAGGTGATTCTAGATTGTACGGATTCTACTACATTATACAAGGTAGGGCTAGACATGGGGGTCCTATCTTCGCTATTACAAACTATGGGGCGTCTTGTGGTTAATAGTGACAACTTTCGGCTATCCATATATTGATTGTGGGAGTCGTATGGTGGGTATATGGAAGTGACCAGATGACCGTTATATTATTATGGTTTTATCAGGTCCTTCCTTGAGTCGAAGATTTTTCGGCTATTTATTGATGATGGTCTAGTGATCTTGTTATTATAGAGCTAAAGTTATTTCGGCTTCTCACTTAGACGATACAATGAGCCTATTATTATGGAGTCGAGGTTATTCCAGCTGCTCAGTTTGACGGATGTGTATATATGTGCATGTGCATAGTTGTCGAGTTCAATATCTTTGTTATATCATTCACTATTGGCATGGCATGACACATTTTTTTTGTGATTGACGGGAATTAAACTTTATTTTCAAAAGTATGGGGTGACATATTTGATGTTAATTCTTAAAATGAATTTAATTCTAGACTGCTTTTAAAAAAATAATTGGTTCAAGTATGCATCGCACCTCCGGGACAGGGGACATCTCGGGATATAGAAAGACGGGCTGAATGAGTGAACTTACATCTCTTGTATTATATGTAAATTTTTAACCAAAAAAACCTCTTGTTTAATTGTATTTTTTGTAAATATTCATAAATCAGATTGTGTTATATAACAATGCGCTTTTATAGTTAATCTTAGCCTTAACACTGCATTGTGGGGCCGAGGTAGGAGGTGACGACTTCATGATGCACCGTGGCGGTAAATTTCCAGTATGAGCAAATTGGAGGTATTACAAAGCCAACCAACAAAATATGATAAGTCCTGGGCTTAGAAGAGGATACAAGCACTTGAATGTTACAAGTGCAGGAAGAATTACCATTTTGCAAACAATTGTAATCAAAACAAATGTCATAATTGTGGAAAGGTTGGGCACTACACGAAGGACTACTGGAACAAGAAGAAGGTTGAAGAAAATACAAATCTTGCCATAGATAATGGAGAAAATGAACCTTAACACTGTATTGTAGGGCCCGAGGTAGGAGGTGACGACTTCATGATGCACCATGGCGGTAAATTTCCAGTATGAGCAAATTGGAGGTGTTACAAAGCCAACCAACAAAATATGATAAGTCTTGGGCGTAGCAGAGGATACAGGCACTTGAATGTTACAAGTGCGGGAAGAATGACCATTTTGCAAACAATTGTAATAAAAACAAATGTCATAATTGTGGAAAGGTTGGGCACTACACGAAGGACAGCTGGAACAAGAAGAAGGTTGAAGAAAATACAAATCTTGCCATAGATAATGGAGAAAATGAAGAACTTCTCTTGATGGTACAAAATAGTACCAATAATGTTGCCGATTCAACGTGGTATCTAGACACGGGTGCAAGCAACCACATGTGCAGGCTCAAGCACCTATTCAAGGAGCTACAAGAAGTGAAGAAAGGGCATGTTTCTTTCAAAGACGGATCCAAAACCCAGGTTAAAGGAAAATGTACAATTTGCTTCGTACAAAATAGTGGCTTGAGAGGAACAATTGAGGGAGTGTATTATGTTCCCGATCTAAAGAGCAACATCCTAAGTTTAGGTCAACTCATGGAGCGAGAGTATTCCGTGCATATGAAAGATATAAAAAGAAAGTGTATCCAGTGACTCGAGTCGTGATGGGTGAGAATTATATGTACAAACTCAATTTGTGTACAGTGTAAGTAAAATGTTTGAGAGCAAACCTTGAAGACAGGGTTGTTCTATGGATCATAGATTTGGCATTAAATTTTGGCAACAAAAAATATGGTGTGTGGGCTGTTAGATGCAAACTGCGAAGAAAACTTTTGTGAAGAATGTGTACTAGGAAAGCACACGAGAGCCTCAGTTCAAAAGAAAACATCATTTTAAGCTAAAAATGCACTCGAGTTGATTTACACTGATATTTTCAAGCCAATTTATCCCAAATTGTATAGCGGAAAATGGTATGTCATCACTTTCATTGATGATTTTTCACGGAAAACATGGGTTTATTATTTGAAGGAAAAATCTGAAGCCTTTGACGTGATTGTCAAGTTAAAAAATCTGGAGGAAAAATCGACTGGAAATGTCCTCAAAGCTTTTACGTGAGACGGTCATTCTGCATCCGATATGGTATCAGAGTCTGGCTAGGTCTCGAGTTCGAGTCCCACCGTCCCCATTTGCAGTATATGCATGTGCAAGTTACGCTTACCTCCATTTGCACGTAAGGGGGCGTGTTATGACTGCATTTCCCTAACAGTTCGAGCTTTTAAATGAGACGGTCATTTTGCTGGCAAAAGCAAAATCCAATTTCCATCCAAGTGAAAGATTCAACAAGGTGACTTACTCTTAACTAGTCAAAAAGTTTTAGGTATTAGTATAATTGTATAACGACCAGATTCCTGTAATGAGTTGCTAGTAATGTTGTAATAAAGGCTAGATATTGGTTGCTACTTGTTGATATAATTATCCTTGATGACTTAGTGTTTGGTTACTTGTGACATGCCAGTCCGCAAGCCGCGTATCAGAATTAGACTGACTTTACAAGTCAACAGGAGTTCTTTCAATGCAAACACGTTAAACTTTAGAGTTTTTTCAATAGAGCTTTCGAAAAAGAATGCGCACATTGTTGATATGAGTAGTCTATTTAATCCATTTTAACTTCTATTCAATATCGGGGGTATCACATCAGCCGCGATTCATACCACCATTCGATTCCGGTGGTATTACATTACTAAAAGATATGTCCAGCCATAGTTGTCCTCTATCCAACATGTATTATTATTATTATTATTATTGGAATTTTAGGCATAAGAGAAAAGAATCAAAAGTCCAAAAAATAAATTGGATTGTATTTAATGATCCATTTTGAATGTTGTATTTCAATACTCATGGGTTACACGAAATCAACTATTTGATAATCTACTAACTCATCTTTGTTTTTGAATAGTAAGGACTTGTCACGATCCATTGGTTTTTGTATGTCTGAGTTTGGCGTGCACGTTTCTTCAAGAGATCTCGTACCAAGTTGGCCTTGGCAACATCTCCACCTTTCGCCTTCTGTTGTTTTCTGTTGTCCTCCTCTATCCGAATTCGGACAATCAAACTTTCAAGTCCCATATGTTTCAGCTCATGCTTCATCTCGTGCCTGAAGTTGCTCAAACTCTGGGGCAATTTCTTCATCAACACACTCATGATGAAATTTTCTAGTAGTAGCATCTATTCATCAATGACTGAGTGGACTATATATTGAAATTTCTCCACTTGTACTACGACTGACTTGTCATCTACCATTTTATAGTCAATGAACCGAGCCACAAAAATATTTTGGACCCAACCTTCTCAAACTTATATTTTTTCTCAAGGGCATCCCACAGGCCTTTCGCAATATTTATTATGCAGTATACATTATAGAGAGTGTTAGAAAGACTACCTAGTATGGTGTTCTATTATGCACTATATAGTCTCCACGGGCCCATGGTGCATAGTTCGCATGTGATTGTGATTTGCATTGGGCTCCAAGTTTTGGGCTGTCTTGTAGTATGAACATGGCGAAGCCAATCAAGGTCAGGTAGAATAATATGTTCTTTGGCCACCTCTTAAAGTCCGCTGGTTAACGGCTGGGGAGCTAGCATGTGGGCATCATCCGTGGACTGAACCCAACACCAACAGTTTGGGCCACAAAGGTAGAGGAGGGGCGGCCATAAACTCAAAAAAGCCCCAAAATCTTCCTAGGACAAATCCCGAAAAAACAGAGCTGGCCTGAACGAGAACCGACTCAACTGAAGAAGTGGCGGCGGTAGGGCAGCAGTGGCTTCGGCAGCAGCAGCTCCGGCAGCAGTATCCATGTATAGAACAATATAGTTGCCGGTGGCGTCAATCGAATCGGCAATATCATTGATGTTCGATTGTCTCGCAACACACTATTTAATTTTCTGTTGTTAGTTTCAAGGAATATTGTGAGTTTAAAAGGTACCTAATCATGAAAACGAGTTAGGGATGAATCATCTCTTCGAAAATTAGATACGCCCCAGTAGTGCTTCCGGTGGCCAACGTTCTAATCCAAAGATGAAACAATTTTTATCTTCAATGAGAGTGGAACCTCAAATTGTCGGACCTTCGGGATATAAATCCGAGGATATAATTAAGTTGGAGAAGTTTCCAAAAGACTAAAAAAGATAGAAGGAGGATGAGAGTATGATGTTGGCATGGTGGAAGAATGGAAGGGATCCTCTTTTTATAGGCACACCACCCGGGGGTAAATAATGAAACCGCCGCCATGAAAGACAACGATATTGTTTCCATAATTGAATTGCCATTAAAGGCAATGATATTCTTTGGGTGATTACAATCCCGATTTGCGTTATTGCAATCGGATATAGTCAACTTTTCCTGATAGGGCATTTATGATCCGGATCTTGGGCCGTCTTCACTCGGGCTTAGCGTTTTGGGCTCATCTTCGACTCCAAGACTTGGGATTTTTTCGAGACATAAATTCTAGGCTCGGTAATTGAACCTGCAAAACTTAGTCTCACTAAGCCAAGTATTTACCAAGTCCCACGATCCGAGCCCGTGCTTGTGTACGTGTACGAGTCATGCCCGAGCCCATGTACGTGTCCTAACGCGAGCATGTGGCTCACCGGCACTCTCGTGGCCCGGCCATACTTCTTGCCACATTTCTTACACAACTCAATATTTATATACATGATTAAAGATTCAATTAGGCAATGTGAGACAAGTTCCCATATGTTTAATTAATTATTTAAGTAATTTATCCGTTCCCCCTAGTTTAGTTAATTATTTAAGTAATTTACCAAAAGCCCGTTATTATTTCAGCTCGCTTTATTTACAATTCAGTCCGAACCATTGAGAGATTCTCAATTAATTCACATTTTTAGCTCAATGCATTTCTACTCACCAAAAAATCAACTTTGATAAATTCTTTAAAAATTAGATTCTATCGGCCATTTAAACCGATTTATTCAACAATGATCGGTACTCGTTCAGAGACCTATTGTTATCTTTAGGAAAATCCAAAGTTGCAAGCCTCGACCGCAAACGATGGGAAAGTTTTAATGTGCCATACCTAACTTAGCCATGTCAACCAATAGAACATAATGAAACTCAATGAACTTGGTGTTATCATAGGTGTAGTGAAGTTCAAAAGAGTTACCGACTCCATATGTGTGATTGTGTAAAAGATTGAATCATGCCGGCAGTTAGAACACTAGAGTAGCAACCGATGTCTAGATCTTTAATTGTGTCGCACACAAAATTGTATATATATATATATATATATATATATATGGAACACACAACTATAAACTTCAAGCAATCACTATTCGTAAAATTAAATTATTATTATTATTATTATTATTATGATTGCCATTTTTATGAGTTTTAAGTTGAGTTCCCAGTTGACAATAATGTATTACAGACTAACATAGGGACGATTTTATTTGTGTGTCGGTTGCTCAAATTCTAGTTATATTTTGTTTGAGGAACAGGAAAATAGTCGCGTTGGAATACCTATATAATAAGTAAAAGATGAAAAATAACAGGTTCACATCATAATATGACCATATTAAACACTAGTGAGTGATAATGGATATACAAACCTCCAATCTACTTTCTGAGGAAGATGTGAGTGAATGGTCTTAGCAACACAGATTGAATACCAGCTTTATCAGAAGTGACATCTCAGAATACATATAATAATATCTGAAAGTATGTATTTAATATCATTAGAAAATATAATATGAGATAATTTAATACATAAAGATAAGGATTGAGGATGATGCTAACCTGGAAGAGTTGAACATAATTGGAACATCACAGAAATACCAAGTAGAGAGAAATAAGGAGACAATAATTCTACAGAAGATATACTCCAACAAGAGGCTGAACACAAGAACACTTCAATAAACTGCAAAGAAGTGTAAAGAGATAAGTATGTGTATGTTGAATATGTCATCTCAGATCTATTTGCTAAGTATTTGATAAAGTCTCGAGTTGGATAGCATGCTGAAATAGTTAAGATTAATTAACATATCAGCACAGGATCTAATCGAGACCCTATAAACTTAATTGTGGGAGACATGAAAAGATACGCAGAAAACAAAGAAAAACAAACTTCAAAGATAATAGTATATAATACTAACCTCAAAGATAGCAGCGACCAAAATATTGCTCAATAATATTGTATCATTAGTTTCTTGCAAATCCCAGTTGATAAGATAAAGATAAGATATTTCTAACGAAATAATTAAAATGATGTACTAATCCAGAGAAAAAAGAAAGCAATTATATATATATATATGTATGTATATTGAACAATTAAACCTGATATGCAGATTTTGAAGAATATGCATATGCGAGGAAGATTTGGATTTGGAATAGAATTTGAATTTGAACTTGATGGATCTGAAAGTGAAGAAGATGAAGATGAAGATGAAGATGAAGATGAAATAATTGGGAGTTAGAACACAAAGACAAGACAAGAGAGTGAATTAATTAATTAATGATAAACTGGCAATGATACAACTTGGTCTATAGTATATAATATATTTGTATATATATATATATATTCTTTCTTCTGACCATGGATGAATATATCATCGTGGTGATGTCTCCTCTACTTTAAAATATGAGTGCAACTTGGCACCTCTGTACTTTGTAGCAGATTTTTATAATACATGCAACATTTTGCGTGAAGATATATTACTACTATTTTAATTTGAATTATTCTAATGTTTCTTTACTATTGTGTATATATATATATATATATACTTAATATTATAGGCACATGCTATCAACACGTTCCGACACCATAATTTTTTGGTTTTATATTGTCTACTCCCCACTAGGTTTATTTACTTTGATGCATGTGCCGGTGAAATAAAGGCACTTGATATATAAAATTTCATACTAAATGACAATTACCAATAAATATGGAAGATTAAAGACTTCTATTAGATAAGAGTTTCAATGAGAAAGTTTTAAAACTTTGCAAATTTTTAAAAATTATAAGAATTTAGATATTTTATGAGATAAATAGGTATTTGATATATTTTTTAAAAAAAATAAATTATCATTGTTGATAGTGTAAAATCTTTCAAAATTATACATGTAAACAGACCCTAAAATTGATTATGTAAAAATAATTATTATATATTTTAGTAATGTTGAGATATTTTAAATATTCGGTTTTAGATTTGGTTTTATCCATATATTAGATTACTGAGTCATCTCGTTTTCGGCTCCGGTGGAGAGTCATCTTGTTTTCGACTCCGGTAGAGATTCATCTTGTTTTCGGCTCCGATGGAGAGTCATCTCGTTTTCGGCTCTGGTGGAGTCATCTCGTATTCAGCACCGGTGGAGTTATCTCGTTTCGGCTCATGTGGAAATTCATCTTCTTTTCAGCTATGGTGGGAAGTCATCTCGTTTTCGGCTTCGGTGGAGTCATCTCATTTTTTGCTTCGGTGAAGTCATCTCGTTTTCGGCTCCAGTTGAGTCATGTCGTTTTTTGCTCCGGTGGAGTCATCTCGTTTTATGGCATCTCGTTTTCAGCTCCGGTGAAGTCATGTGATTTTCGGCTCCAGTGGAGTCATGTGATTTTCAGCTCCAGTGGAGTCATCTCGTTTTCGGCTCCGGTGGAGAGTCAACTATTATTTTTATTTACGTTTTTTTTTTCGTCTGTTTTCAACTTTCTTGTCAAACTCAAGTTGGTTTTTGTTATACCACTTGAGTTTGAGGGGATGTTGAGATATTTTTTTATATTCGATTTTAGATTTAGTAGATTTATTTTTAGATTGGTCTTATCCATATATTAGATTACTGAGTCTATCGAGTCTGTTTTGTATAGCCTATATATAGGCCCCTTATGTTGATGATCAATAAGATAATCTCATTATTTTCCCCCAAAATTTCTAACCAGTAACATAGTTAATATATAAATAAAATATTTTTGGGATATATAAACTTATTTATAGTCGTGTATGTTTCACCCCTTAGTAAAATATGTGTAAAAATAATGTTGAAACGTGACTTAGATTTAGCGGTCTACCGGACCTGAAACCAAAGCGCAAAGGTTGTTTCAATTGGCAGGGTTCATTTTGGGCTTATCTTAATTAATAAGAAATAGGCTTAGGGTTTAGGGTGTTTTGGGATGCTTATAAATAGATAGCTATGGTTCCTAGTCGTATGACATGATTGTAACTCTCTGAATCAATATAATAAAATCTCTCCGGTTCCTGCCCGTGGACGTAGGTTGACACACCGTCACCAAACCACGTAAAACCTCTGTGTTTTTTTTTGCTATATTTCTCGTTTTCTCATAACAAGTGGTATCAGAGCCATATTTGATTGATTAAAGATGTTCTCGTATAACTTTGATCTGGAAAAGTTTAATGGGTCGAATGACTTCACGCTCTTGAAGGTCAAGATGAGGGCACTTCTGATTAAACAAGGATGTGTGGTTGCGTTCGAGGGAGAAGACAAGTTTCCTAAAGACACGAATGAGGAGATGAATAAGGAAATTTTGGCAATGGCTCATTCCGCAATCTTGTTGTCAGTTACTGATATGGTGGAACAAATTGTGTGAGCAGTACTAGAAAAACTCTCTCACGATCAAGCTATATCAAAAGCAACGTCTTTACACCCTCCAGATGTCTAAAAATACAAAATACTCAGGTAAAAGATCATCTTGGTACCTTTAACCGTATTATTCTTGATCTTCAAGGGGTTGAGGTTAAAATAGATTATGAAGATCAAGCCCTAATTTTACTATGTTCACTACCTGGTTTATATGAGAATTTTGTAGATACTATGCTATATGGAAGAACTACAACTTTTATTAATGATGTCAAAGATGCCCTTATGTCCAAAAAAATTAAAAAGAAAGGTTTCTCTGGAAGAGGTTCTGGTTCAGGTCTGTTTGCAGGTAAGGGAAGACCACAGGAGAGGGGAAACGGGAATGGGAGGTCGCGTTCAAAATCAAAATCCTCTAGCAAAGTTTAGTGTTATCTTTGAAAGGAGAAGGGGCACATTAAAAAGGATTGTCCACAGACGAAGGGAAATACAAAAGTTGATTTTAGTAACAGTGCCAACAGTGCTGCTGTGGTACAAGACAGCTCTGATGATGGGACCTTGGTGAAGTTCTGACAGCGTGTAGTGTTAGTACTGCTGATTCTTGGATTATGGATACCGGTGATTCTCATCATATGTCGTTCTCTCGTGATCTACTCACTTCTTTTAAGGAATGGAATGTAATAGTGAAGTTAGATGATGATGGGGTTCTAACTATAAAGGGGAGCGGGATGGTGCAGATAAAAGTCAGGAAATTTGACTGTTGGTATGCTCCTGAACTCGGAAAAAATTTGAGATGATATGAGATGTAGGACGGATATAAACGGCAGTATGACCATGGTAGGGGCAACGAAGAAGATAATGTTATTTATTGCCTCTTAATTAGGACAGCTGCGACGTTGGGAAATAATAATAATAATAACAACAATAATAATAAATGTAATGTTTCTTCGAAGATCTCAGCACGTAAGCAAAAAATAAAATAAATTGGAGATTTTTCTTCAAGATACTTGTGTGCAGCACTAGCTTTTTTACTCTTAATTTTATTATTCATAAAAATATTCAATAAAATACAGATATTTTTTATAAAAAATTAAAATTACTTTTATATTTTAAATATTACATCTATGAACGCATGTCCCGCATAATTGTAGAATTTTTGAAAATAAATATATACATTATTAACAATAATAATATATTCAATTTCAAATAATCTTATATGGATTTATTCATATATGAAAGTTGACCTGACACTAACCAAACTTCAGATATCATAAAATGTGAAACTCAAATAAAAATCAAGCATATCCTAGAAGATCCTCTATTTGCGCTATTGGTATATATATTGGATTAATATTTATTGTGTGAATTATATGCTATATTGTGTTGTATAATTTGTTTATTGTACTGAAACTAAAATATATGTGTGCATATAATTATATAATGTGCTATCAAAATATGTGTTATATATTACTCTCTTCATCTCACTTAATTTGTCAACTATTTCTATTTTCGTTTGTCCCATATAATTTGTCATTTCCTCTTTTGGAAATAGAATTATACACTTTAACATTTTAAATTTATAAATTATAGGAATTTTTTATTTTAATTAAACTATTTAGTCATTTTAATTTTAATCTAAAATTTTTTTTATTAAATTATAATTATTTTTACTAATGCATTTTTTAATTACTCACTAATTACATAATACCTAAAATTTCATGTCTAATCTAAATGGAATAAATTAGCCGGGACAGAGAGAAAGTATATTAATATGTGTTGTCGGATATGTGTTATTTCTTTTATAAACATATACAACAACTAAAGCATGTATATATATATACACATATATGAGAATAGTGCGAGTCTATTATCGACAATTCCTCAATTTTTATAATTAAAAAAAATATTATAATTAAAAAATTATTTTTATAATTTATAAATAATAAATAATCTTGTTAAAAAATAAATAGGTGGTGGAATGTTGGTGGTAGAAGTAGTTTGGACAGGAGATATGGCTTTCTCATTGATCAATTGAGCTTGCTGAATTAGGGGTTTGCTTGACAATGAGAATATGCTACAGCATATCACTCGATCGTACCAGTGACGGAACCAACCAGTGACGGAACCAACTTTGCGCTCCGGAGGGCAAAATTTTTATGTTTATTTATTTCATTTCTTTATTGTTTATTTTTAGTTTCAACTTATTTCGAGCCTATTTTTTATTTGAACGTCTGTTTCTGTGTGTACATAAAATAATATAAAAACTTTATCATCGATTCATTTATACCAATTTGATGTCATCTTAGGTTTATGTAGAATATTAATCTCAAATTGGGAGGGCAAATTTGATTACTAAATAAAAAATTACACTTAAAAAAAAAAAAAATGGGAAGGGCTTGGAGGGTCAGTTGACCCCCAAGCCCCAACGCAGATCTGTCACTGATCGTACCTGCCTAGATAGCCATAAGAGCTTGAATAAGTTTCGCGTTAATGGCAGCATTTGATGGATTCCCAAACGATCCATTTGAGGTGGATGAAGTGTTGTTGGCAACATATCTTTGATTCGCCGTGATTTTTTTAAAGAGACGTCTCTGAGTTTGGGATGATGGAGTAAAACTTGGTTCTTTGTCATTAGTGTGTTTGTTTGGGGGTTTGGATTTTGAGTTGGGATTTGAATCGTAAAAATTTGAAATGAAATAGTTATATAATGTGATATAAATAGGTGTTGATATGCTGTTTTGAATATAAAATTAATTTTTAATATAATATAAAAAGTGAAAAATAGATGTTTGATTACATATATTTTTTTAAAAAAAAATTAATGAATAATGAAAATCTTAGAGAATCCTCCAAACAAACACACTTCGCTGCACATTGAGCAATGTCCAACCAAAAGCTTAGTAAATTAAAAATAAGAATAGAGAAAGAATAAAGCTTAAAAGCTCATGAATCTCG